CTATCAAGCTGGCGTGGCTAGAGGCTTCTTCTCCCTGACGTGGATCATCTTCACACCAGCACACGAAGAATCTCGAGCTCCTCACAGGGCCCCAGTTATGTCCCCCTGGGCTGGGGCTGGCTCCGCCCTTTGCCCCGCCCACCTTCCAGATCTCTCGAGCTCTTTCTCAAAGGCTCCCGAGAGCTCTTTTAGACCACGTGACCACCCAGCGGCCCCCGTGCACCGATGGCCCTCCTCCAATATCATCCGGTCACGTGTCAGCAGGTCAACCAGTGTATCATGCCCCAACGTAACCCTGGCTGACTAACACTTCCTCTAGATCCCTCACCGGGACCCACACCGCCTACTGTACGTGGTGCCTCTGTGCTGACCAGCGCTCACCCAAGCCCCGCTAAGGCTGGTACTATGCCCAGTAAGCAACACATTATCCGCCGTGGCTTTGTAAGCCGGGCACCACACAGTGACAATCACAGTCACTACATATGGATGGTTTCATGAACGAATCTTTGTTGATAGCCAGTGGGCTTACAAAGTACCTTTGTCTTAGAGAAATCAATTTCGTGTGAGCCAACCACATTAAAACAATGATCAGCCACGGCCGGGTTGTTGGTCCTACCGTGTTTCAGATCTGCCTTATGTTCACAAACACGGTCTGAGACATGTCACTTAGTTTCCCCAATGTTATTACTGCCGCAGACACAGCTTAGTTTGTAGACGCCAGGGTATTGCATATCGGGGATCCTATCCTTCACAGATGGGATCAGATCACGAATTTTAGTAGTGTTAAACCTACAATCTTACATTAACATGCTAATTTATCACATTAACTTCGTTTATGACCCTTGGGCTACACCCATTTTAAACCTTTAAAACAGTCTGCTTTTAGCATCTTTCCCCCTCTGTTTTCCTCCTGATGACGATCGCTTGTGTTGTAATCCAAACGTCGTAATTTTTTTGTGTTCTTTAATTAATTTGAACCTATCTACGTGACTTTACCAAAAGACCCAAGGAATATGAATTCCTGCAGTCACGACAGCTTCAAGTCAAGATTCACTATTTGCAGCACAACTGTTTTTGACTCTCATATTCAACTCGGTTGTCGTGCGTCATACAGAGCAAATGCCCACTGTGTTGGTATGGCGTTTGTTCAGATTTTATTTGCCGTTGATGGTGTTGTTTAGGTTTTTTGCTTTTGGGTGTTCAGTGGCACGAGACAAAGGCAAGGACATGAAAGTGCTCCCATTCGATCTGCACTGTGTTGCAACGAAGTCAAGAATTCACACTCAGGTGATGCTTCTCGTTTCGTTCATGCAGATCCGTTTTTTTGGACAATCAAATATCACTGCACCACAATTGAAAACAGCTTCACTTGTGCTTTTAGGAGCAGGTCTGTATTTCAAACGTCGTCCCAGGAGACACTTGATTAATCGCTGTTTTTGCTCTAAATATATCTTATAAATCACGTGTGCGTTGTTTCCCAATCAAAATGGAATAATGAATGCTGTACTCCAATCTTGTTATCGGTGTTATGTAACCACACGTATAAAAATCCAAACAATGAGACAGGTTAATGAGGCATATCTCGGTGGGCTCTCACCTGGATTATATAATTAACATGCCATGAATTAAACTAATTACGCGAGAAGTCATGCGATCAATAAATGTTTTTTTGGAATTTTATTAGAGGACATATATATTATCATACGGATGCTACCAAGGAGCATAAATCATCATGCAAACTCCTGTCATCCTCGCAGCATCTTTTGGCTGGCCATCAAACATAGACAGTCACCGCATCGCGCGTTTTCAGGCTTCTGCGGCCGTCTGGAACGCTCTTCCTTCCGATATTAGGAAGCCACTGGAGCTATGCACTTTTAAATCATCTAGATTGAAAACTCATTTCTTTAGAACTGATTAGCACTGTTGACTACGTACGGTGCCAAATAAGTTCAACACACACATACGTTAGCACACTGGTAGTGCAATTCAGGGTTTGCTAGTTCGATCCCCCGACATTGCATTTTAAACAATGGCCACGTTTATTAAACCGCCTCTCCACCCAGCAGTGTAAATGTGCAAACCACACTATGCCGATCGGTAGGTCACGTATGGTGGGGTAAAGTGTGGGTACTCCCACCTGGCCAGCGTGTAAGAAGAGCAGGCCAAAATTCCAAAGGGGATCTCTAAAGCTCCTTCTTTTGGAGTATGTTCTACCAATGGTCGCATTAAAATGTTATGCTTTCTATCTGTAATGTGCTTTTTATGCTGATTTAAAATGACATATTTTACATGAGGTAACTTTGGTACAGTACATTTGTATGCATGAGAACAGCGAGAGTTTTAACCAATTAAAAACCCTTTTCTTAAAGGAAACTAAGGTGAATTTGGCAGACATGTCCAAAAATAATGTTCAAATTCAATGGTAGGCAGACCTTCATGTGGCTCTCTGAAACTGAGCTCATTTCAATTTAACCAAGTTTCAATGTATCACAGTTTGTTCTATTTTACAAATCGAACACATTTAATGGAAATTCTTACGTGAACCATCTGAGGAAAAAGGTAATCTCTTATGGATTTATCTCCCCCATCGTGACTGCAAGCGGACATTCATCTTCATCACGCGATAGTAATTACGTCCAGACATGAAAGGGAATTATTGAATGCATATTTGCTCTTCTTGAGAACGGACACACCAAAAGAGCACAAGGATCGTTCTTCACTTTCCCGCGATGAATCTGAAAGTGTGCAATTAGTAACTGAACGCAGTTTTCAGTGCTGTGGTTAATTGCAGGATTTTAGTCAACTGGAAAAGCAGAAATTATGCAATGGGTGTTAAATTGCAGGCATACGCGTCGACTTATAAGTCGGTTGGGGTTTTCCTTTTGAACGTTCACATTAAATAATTTCAAGAATGTAAAAATAAAACATTTCGAACAGATTTCTTTTTGGTAATCGACTACCGTCTTTATAATTACTTCAAAAATAGACTTTTTAAATTAAACATTTAATTTAAAAAAATACTTCATACATTACTTTTTCCCGAAGGGAGCTGTGCATTGCATAGTAGTGAGCAGCCCTGTATGTCTTTGCATTAATGTTTTATGTATAGACATCTCTCTGCTATGTGTATAGCTATATTCTACAATGTAAATATAAAATCATGTAATACTGTACATAAATATTACAGCAAAATAAGAACTCCCATTGCAGCTCTTGTAAGATGCTATCTGACAGGCTGTTAACGAGAATGAATATATAAAGTATCTTTTTAAATGGTACATTATATTTTTGGCACAATTATAATATATACATGTACCATTTTTATGTCGTTAAACTATGTGGGGGTGGGGCAGTGGCAGTATGGTTAGCGCACTGCACTAGCATACTCGCAAGCTCAGTTTCATTCCTGGTCATGGATGACATCAGAAGTGGTTGATATCTGAACCAGCTCCCCCTGCCCCCAAACACCTGCACTAACCCGAACTGACCAGAGTGGTGAAGTATGGTAATATGACTTCTATGACCAACATGGCATGGGGAGACCTTGACCCTGAAGTGATTTGACAAAAAAACCCTGTATTTTTATTATTACACTATAGTCATTGTCATCATCATCACCAGCCATATGCAATTCACTGATGGATGAAGACCTCCTCCAACTCACAGCAACCTCTCACAATCCTGCGATGTAAAACTCCATCCAGCACTCTTGTGCACAAACTGATGTTATCGTTCCATCTCCTCCGCGGACGATCGTATTTGATGTTCTCTATCAGTAGTCGGAGTAATTCCCCAGTATTTCTGCGCAGGAGGCAACGGAAGCACCAACCGTTTTGCATTTGTCAATATCAATAAATCACGCAATGCGTCGCATGCTTGAGGATGGCTCGTGACAAGGAGTAAGATTTAGACTGAGCATGAGTGGGGAGGTGAGCCTCTGAGCCTGGGAGAGCAGTGCACAGAAATATGCCTGTTACTATGCAATTGCGCTCTTTACGAAAGTGCCTTTTTTATCCATCCCAATTATTTGCCTTCATTATAATTCCAGTGGCAGGCCACGCAAATGGAAAGGGCCTTCTTGAATAAATAACATTTCCCTGCCTCATACACACGGCGTGCAACTCCACCTCGCCTTTTACAATGTAATTTTTTTGCGGTGTATTTTTTCCTTTGTGCCCATGTTAGATAACAATATAAGTGTGTTTTGTAATTTAATCAGTGGTATGAAAGGGCAGCATTATAGACAAACCCCCCATTGTAGCAAATGTCTTTGTACTTATTACAAAAATTACTCGGCACAAAAGAACCTGGTTTAACGATCTAAAAAAAATACCTGAGTTTAGTGGCGCTACAATAGTTAGCACACTGCTGTAAACCCAACAAACCTGAGTTTAATTCCAGGGCAGGGCTCACAGCAGCAGTCAATTATTTCTAAACACCTCCTGGGGACCATTCCCCCACATTCACCAACCAGCGACCGACCATCGTGGTGAAGTATAGTCAAACAGTCCCCACGGCCAACGATGCATGCAGAAAGTGTTCTTCATCCCAGTAGTGGATCGACAAAATGCTGCAACAAATGTGGTTTTTATTTGTTACAGCTGCAGAAAAATGATGGAAACATACCTTGGCTGCTGTTCGTGAATTAATATCACATTTGCATATGGGCAGCATTGAGTGTGAACACACAAATACAAAGATCCCTCTTATAGCCTTTACAGACTATTGGGGCAAGTGCTGTTAGCGAGCGCCTATGAAGGCTGGCAGTGCACACGAGGGGGTGGGTGGCCAGCACCACGCCAGACCGCCTTTGTCTCCTCACTGGCGATTGTTTTTACACACCGCACCAGGTACTCATTTGAGGCCGAGTCGACCTAGGGGAGGCCCATGGGACCGTTTCAGATAATCGTCACCGGTGTTGGCCGTGAGCGGGAATCCAACTCGGGTAAGACCAGGTTTCATAGCGCAGCGCAGCGCTAACCGCGACACCACCGCTCCCCACTGAACACACACCAACACACACGCGCACGTACTTACACGTGCATTGCATTAGCCACCTAAAACAAATCAGGTGTGCTGTATATTAAATGCAAAGCAACGCATTATATTTCTATTGGGTGACTAGGCCACGCGCTCACAGAGCCAACAAAAGGACCGCCACCCTGCGCGGTGCATCTGTTCCACGAGTTCCGTTCCGCGGATGTCGATTGCCGGGGCAAACGCACGGACGAGCTGATGGGGGTTTTTTTTCTTCCCCCAAGAATCAGCTGCCTCGTATCGCAGGGTCGGAGCGTGGCGTCGTCATGGGAAAATAACAGGGAGCTGCTTGTTTCTCCTGCTGAGCGACGCGTGCAGGAAGGGCGAGCTCCGGCTTGAGTCAAGAGGCGTTCGCTTGTGTGCCTGGGGTGAGCCGACTTTTCGATTTCCGCTAATGGCCAACCTCGGTGACGATTATCATGAACCGGTCTTGGGCCCACCCCTAGGTCGACTCAGCCTCGAATGAGTATCTGGTGTCGGTGTGTAAGCATCGCCGCCGGAGAGACAAAGGCGGTCGGGCGCGGTGCTGGCCACCCACCCCACCTCGTGTGCCGTGCCGGTCTTCATTAGGTGCTCCCTAACAGCACTTGCCCCAACAGCCTGTTAAGGCTACACCGGTAGGGATCTTTGTCTTTGCATGCGAGCACAATTATTCATGACTAAAGCGTTATATATGTAACTAGCCGGGTTACCCGTCGTAGGACGGAAGCTGTGATATTTACGTAAAAATCGAGCAGCGTATAATTGTCTCTTGTGCACATTTAATGGCAGTGAATCTTGCACGAAAGTACGTGATAAAACACTTCACTGTAGTTCACTGTAGCACTGTATTAATGGCAGTGATGCTTGCACAAAACTATGTCATGAAACACCTCATTTCACTGTAGCGCTGTATATAAGTGACCTTAAATTTGTTCAAATTCACTGCTCTGATACTTTATTCTCTTCCGCTTTCGGTCGCTGGGGTTGAAATAAATTGGAATTCGATACAATGTGGAAAATCACCGAGATATGTCTATTTTACCATAATGTAGAAGCATAAATTAGACTTACCTTTCGTCTCAAGTGCTGAAGAAATAAATAAAGATACCAAATCCACTTTGTTGCTGCGTATAATTATTTATTAGATTCACTTTCAATAAAGAAACGTCAAACTTAAAACGAATTTGCGAAAAAATTGTATTTCCGCTCGACCTTCTGCGTGAGTGGAAAAATCCACCCGCTCATGAATATTAATGACGGGGGGGGGGGTGCGGCATGTGGAGTGACGTCACCCGCTCATGAATATTAATGACGGGGGGGTGCGGCATGTGGAGTGACGTCACGCGCGTTACACACAAACAGACATTCTTGGCTCATTATAGTACTAATGTGCCCTCCTTACCAATGGGGGTGTGAGACACGCCACAGATTCGTTGTCAGGATTCCTCTGGCTCGAGTAAATGTAGAGGCGCAAGCACGGTGTCTCCTGGGATCTCACGTGCGCAACCTGGAGATGTCTGTCTCTGAGCGAGGTGTGGTCTTAAGACATTGCAGACATTTCAACCGATCCCAGCTGGGCGTCCCCGAAGTCAACTCAGCCCATAATGGAGTTTATCTCCTGCTTGCTGTGCGTAAACATCGCCACGAGGGAGATGACGGTGGCTGGCCGTGGTGCTCACCAGCAACCTTAATAGGCGCTCGCCAACAGCACTTTGCCCCAACAGTCTTTTAAAGGGTATGTCAGGCATGTTTGTCCCGCTTAGCGAGCCGTTGAGTTGGGTGCACGGCTCTATGTGTGTGCTGAACTTCCTTCGCACCGTATGTAGCCAAGGTGTCCGCTGGGGGCGGCGGGGGGGGGGGGGGAACAAACTGTGAGTCCTCGTATGGCCAACATCAGAGGCAAATATGTGAACCAGTTGTGGGCCTCCCCGAGGTTGACTCAAAATGAGGACTTGGTGTAGCAAGTGAATATCAGCACTGGGGAGAGAGAGGGTGGCCGGGAGAGGTGCTGCACACCCCCCCCCCCCCGACCCCTTCTTGATTCTCATGCTGTGCCGACCGTCATATGTAGTGGCTAACTTGGGCCTACTTGCTGTGTAAGCTCATAAACTCATTTTAATACTTTCAATCTTAATATTGGGTAAGTCCTCATCGCCAATAACATACTTTAAAATGCATCTACTTCAGCGCGTGTTAAGGCCATGATGCAGGATTACTTCTGCCACAGTTGGCATAAATGTTTTAACTAAGTCCCATTATGTCTGAGGCTGTGTCGATAATTTTAACAGCCTTTTGGTTTGTATTTAAGCACAATTTATGATTGCTTATCCTGTTTGCGGTAGGTTTTAGCAAGGGCTTCGTGAAAATAATTAGTTGTTTTTTGCTTTCGTTAATTTTCACATCCCCACCCTATGATGAGTGCCACCAACTACCGACGATCTTGGGCTGTGGACATCCTTGAAACGGGGTGCTTAGCTCAATGGGCCTTACCAGTCGAAATAATAAAGTCTGAGTCTGAGGCGATACATGGGGAGCTTTGTTGTTGTGCTAAGTCTTCATGTGTTCGTGAGCACCCTTTTCACCACTGTTGCTTTAAGAACAGCATTTCAAGTTCCGCAAAAGTGGTTCACAATTATGGCCAGAACACATGTAGTTTTAGTTATTCATACATTCATACTCAGTTATTATAAATGTAACTATGAATGCAAAGCGTAAAAGTATCTGTAAATTCGTGAGATTCTGTATACTGTATACACAGCGCTTTTGCAAATGAGTCCAACTGAGACGTTATAATTTTGGGAGCAACACCTTTATTACATTAACACCAACACAACATAATGTAAACTACACTCGGGTGTTGAATGCCCATCTAACCATGCTACCGCAGAACTAGACACGGTCCCGCTATCCCGGTCCGGACCACGAGCTGGGTTCTGGACCACGTGGCTAGAGGCTTCTTCAACCCGCCATAGATCTTCTCTCACCAACAGAAGAAGAACCCCGGGCCCTGCACGGAGCCCCCGTTATATCGGCCCGGGCTGTGGCTGGCTCCGCCTCTCACCCCGCCCACCTTCTAGATCTCTCGAGCTCTTTCCCGAAGGCTCCCGAGAGCTCCTCTATACCACGTGACCACCCAGCGCCCCCCGTCTACCGGTGGCCCCACTCCAATATCATCCGGTCACGTGTTGGCAGGTCATCCAGCGTATCATACCCGAACGTAAACCTAGCTGGCTGACACTTGCTTTCGCTCCCTCACCGGGAGCCCGCACTGCACATTGAACATGATGGCCCCACGCTAATCAGCGCTCACCCAAGCCCCGCTAGGGCTGGTACTACGCCGAGTAACCCGGCTACACATAAAACAACATAATACCCGCCGTGGGATCGCAGGCCCGGCACCACACAGTGACATTCCCAGTCACTACAATTGCACTGCTGGGGGTTTTGGGGGTTACTTGACCATACCTCACCATGCTAATCAGTGCAGACTGGTGAAGGTGGGGAGCGTAGATGTAGGGGGATAGAATTACAGTAGAACAATAAATGTATCTACACTGCTGACCATAGCAAGCAGTGGTCACCTGACCCGGCACGGTGGTCCTCCGACCCGGCACGGTGGTCACCCCCCTCAGCACGGTGGTCACCCGACTTGGCACGGTAGTCACCTGACCCAGCACGGTGGTCACTCAACCCGGCACGGTGGTCACCCGACCCGGCACGGTGGTCACCCGATCAGGCACGGTGGTCACCCGACCCGGCACGGTGGTCACCTGACCCAGCACGGTGGTCACTCAACCCGGCACGGTGGTCACCCGACCCGGCACGGTGGTCACCCGATCAGGCACGGTGGTCACCTGACCCAGCGCGGTGGTCACCCGACCCGGCACGGTGGTCACCTGACCAGGCACGGTGGTCACCCGATCAGGCACGGTGGTCACCCGACCCAGCACGGTGGTCACCCGACCAGGCACGGTGGTCACCTGACCCGGCACGGTGGTCACCCGACCCGGCACGGTGGTCACCTGACTGGGCACGGTGGTCACCCGATCAGGCACGGTGGTCACCCGACCCAGCACGGTGGTCACCCAATCAGGCACGGTGGTCACCTGACCCAGCGCGGTGGTCACTTGACCGGGCACGGTGGTCACCTGACCCAGCACGGTGGTCACCCAACCCGGCACGGTGGTCACCCGACTTGGCACGGTGGTCACCCGACCCAGCACGGTGGTCACCTGACCGGGCACGGTGGTCACCCGATCAGGCACTGTGGTCACCTGACCGGGCACGGTGGTCACCCGACTTGGCACGGTGGTCACCTGACTGGGCACGGTAGTCACCCGATCAGGCACGGTGGTCACCTGACCCAGCACAGTGGTCACCCGACCGGGCATGGTGGTCACCCGACCCAGCACGGTGGTCACCTGACCGGGCACGGTGGTCACCCGACCGGGCACGGTGGTCACCCGACCGGGCACGGTGGTCACCCGACCGGGCATGGTGGTCACCTGACCCAGTGCGGTGGTCACCTGACCGGGCACGGTGGTCACCCGACCATGCACGGTGGTCACCTGACCCAGCGTGGTGGTCACCTGACCAGGCACGGTGGTCACCCGACCAGGCACTATTCAATCTTCCAAGATCTGCTAAAATTGGGTTGCATTCTGGGTAATGTAGTCCATATGCCTCATGAAATCATACCAGTAGCAATTAACATTAACAACGTGCTCTAAAGTGCTATCAAATTTTGTATAGATTCCTAGTTTGTTTAAAAGGGCAAGGTGTAGTGTAAGATGAAGTCCTCAGCTTTTAATAACTTTTTGGGACCAGGCCAACAATATAGCTATTCGTTTCCCAGTAGTTTTTGAACGAGTCGCTTGTTGGTTCAATTCATGAATTCTAGCTCTACTCAAAGGAAGGTGAAACTTCCCATTACGAAAGAAACCCATATTAATTTAATTTTCAAGATGATTTTTCGTGAGCCAATTGATTAAACACACTTCCGTTTAAAGGCATTACTCACGATTCCAATGTCTAATCTGGAGGAATTCATGTTTCATGTAAGATGACGATCTGATCGCTCAGAAACCTTTCACGTTGACCTGTACCCGCATTACGATTTGAACTACTTAGTAACATTCTGGTATCATGTAACCTCACAGTGGCAGTTTCTCATATTAATAGGTCAAAGTTCCAGAAACACAGGCACAGTTCAAGAAAAGGGCACCACGGTAGCAATATGTTAACTACCTCGCCTGGTATACAGGAGGTTGCGGGTTCGATCCCGACCCTGACGCCTGCATATTTGGAGTTTGCGTCTTTCTCTCCCCGTAGTCGCGTGGACTTTTCTCCGGGTCTTCCAGTTTTTCCTTCCACGTGATAAGCCACT